GAGAATGAGCATGTGAATGTGTAAGTGTACAAGATGAATAAGCTACATGAGATGCACAAGGAGCATTAGAATTCTTATGTTTATGTGCATAATAGCAAAACTTAGCTAAATGGCCTTTACGGCCGCAAATAGAGCACTTGTAAACTTTACTATATATGCGTGCATAATGAGTAGATGATTTTAACTTAGACTTGGCACACATATCCATAAGATTCTTATGATTGTTAATGCATGTAGTTAGAGTTGAATCTAAAGAGGAAATGCGATTTTTAACAACATTCAACTCATCATTTGGCACATATGCATTAACATTAGAAGTCGAACATTCATCATTTGGCACATATGCATTAACATTAGAAGTCGAACATAAATAGTTATTTATAAAAGAAGCAGTATTATTTTTTATGTAATAGTTATTTATAAAAGAAGCAGTATTATTTTTTATGTTCTCTACTTCTAATGTGGCATTATCTTTTTTATGAGATAAGCTAGTTATATATGTGGTTAATTTTTCATTTTCCAAAATTAACATGTCATTGTTTTTTTAAGCATGGTATTTTCTTTTGCAATGACATCCAATTTTGACACTAACTCCTCATGATCGGATTCTAAATTATCATGCTTGCTTTTTAAATCAATAAAATCTTTATGCAATTTGTTATAGGTATGTAATAATTTTTTACTAGCACAAGCAAGTTCATCACTAGATAAATCATTAATGGATTCGAACTCGCAAACCTCACTAGGGCTATCGTCTAGTGTCCGTGTGCATGATAAGGCTCCAATATTACTTGAGGAAGAATCCGCCAGAATCCTTTAGATCTCCTCCAAGTTACCATGATGTGCTTCTATGAATATCCACAATTTGTAAGCACTATCAAAATGAGCAAGCTTGTTAGAAATAGAAGAATCAAGTGCATTAAGCATATATTCTAACACAATCTTGTTCATGGTAAATAATCTTTTGTCATTTTTACTCTACTTGGATTTCTTCATAGTGGGTACAATATAAGCATTATCAATAATTCCCCATAAATTAATATTTTTAGATTTCACAAAATGATAGAGTCTTTACTAAAAAGATCCCATTTTTATGACCAAACGAAGTCCTAGGCGAGCCTCCAAAACGACCTACTCCTCCAATTAGTCCAAGCATAGCCCGAGCTCTGATACCACTTGTTGAGCACTGCGGAAGCCAAACAACCAAACCAACATGCTACGAGAAATCAAATCAAACGAACGTCGAGAGAAGGCCAAACAAACCAAATCAATGTCACAAACACAAACAACCAATTTTAACGTGGTTCGGCAAGTTGTCTACGTCCACGGGGCAAGAAGGGGATAGGTTTTTCACTAATAGAGAAGAAGAATACAAACTGAGATTACAAATTACTCAAACTCACAAATTAATCTCAACAACAAATCTCTAATTCTCTCCAAACAAAACCCTAACCAATAGCTCAGAAAATACCTCTTTTCTGTGCTCCAAATATCCTCAATTTTCTTCTCAATTCTCTCTTCCAATTGTTTCATATATATAGAAATCCTAAAATCATAAACATACTTCTTCCAATTGTTTCATATATATAGAAATCCTAAAATCATAAACATACTAGGAATTCTAAAACAAAAAATAAAACAGATTAGAATCCTAATAACTCGTTACCAAAATAGATTTGAAATTATGTTACCAAAACAGATTAGGAATCCCAATAACCTGTTACCAAAACAAATTAGGAAACATATTAGGAACCTGCTATCCAACATGTTATACAGCGTTTGACCTCTCCTTCCACAACATAATTGACAAAATTTTTGACTTAGAAGTAGAATCTATTAGATACACTGAAAAATGCTCGAGATCAAACATTTCATAGCCATTTTTTCAATAATTGAAAGAAAGACATACTTATATGATTGGTATAAAAGTTAAAAGAATCAGTTCCGCCTATTTGCACATATTACTTTACTATTAATATTATTATTCTGTTCTCAGCTATCCTGTGGCGATTCTTGTATACATATATATACAAATATGACACAATAACAATATTCTAAATCGATGAATTTAAACTCTTCATCTTTAACACTACTCTAGCTTTATTAATTAGAAATATTCTCACAAATTGAAACTATAGTAAAAACTGAAGACTATCATAAATCATATCATATCATACTCTCTTTAAAAGTACGAGTTCGGACAAATCTTTCTATGATCAATATTACTCTTATTTTTTTAATATTATATTATTATCCTAATCTATTCTAATTATCTTAGCTTCTTTGAATTGGTAACTAAATGATTTATTCTATTCATAATGCGACTTAATATGTTATTGGATAAAAAGGATATGTTTTATACAATTCAAATCCTTTACTTATTTCAGTTCATAGAGAAATCTAAAAAAACATATGCTAGCGAGCACCTAAAAGTTTTTGGACATCGTAAAAAATATTCTCTAATTTTTATAATTACAAACATGCCCCTACAAATTTAAAATTCTATTAAAGCATCTTGAAACTTATAAATTTTACTTATTTCAATTTAGTAAAAAATCTAAAAAACATATGCTAGCTAGAAAGTAAAAGTTTTTTCCTTTGGAGAAAATATCTTGTAAGTTTTAAAAATTATAAAAACACCCCTAAAATTCAAATTTTATAAAAAACACCTTAAAATTTTTAAACCTATAAACACACTAAAAACCAACAAATAACACAAACAACCCCCGAAAATTTATGAAGTTAACAATACACACTTTGAACATTTTACAAATTATAAAATAAAACCCTTAAAATTATAAAATTTATAAAAATCCTGATAATTTCTAACCTAACAATACATTGAAAATATAGGAATAACAAATATCATCTACATAATTTATAATTTATAGAAAACACCCTTAAAGTTTCAAAAATTACAAACAAACTTTTAAAATTCCAAATTTATAAAAAACACCCTGAGAGTTTCAAATTAATTAGTAAATTGAAAGCATAGGAATTATAAATAGTCTATAAATAATTTACAATCTGTAAAAAATGCCTATAAGTTTAAAAATTGCAAAAAACCACTAAAATTCCTAATTTATAAAAAAAACACCATGAGAATTTATAACCTATAGACACTAAAATGAATATGCAAAATTACTAACAATCCCTAGAAAATTATTTTTTTTTTAAAAATATCATACACCTCTTTAATTAATATGTTATTGGATAAAAAGGATATGTCTCATATAATCAAATCTTTTACTTATTTCAATTCATAAAAAAATCTAAAAATCATATGCTAGCCAGCACCTAAAAGTTTTTGGACTTTGTAAAAAATATTCTCCAAGTTTTTTAAATTACAAACATGCCCCTACAAATTTAAAATTTTATTAAAGCATCTTGAAACTTATAAATTTTACTTATTTTAATTTAGTGAGAAATCTGATAAACATATGCTAGCTAGAAACTAAAAGTTTTTGAACTTTAGAAAAAACATCTTTTAAGTTTTAAAAATTACAAAAACACCCCTAATTCAAAATTTATAAAAAACACCTTAAAAATTTTAAACCTATAAACACACTAAAAACCAACAAATAACATAAACAACCCCTAAAAATTTATGAAATTTACAATACACACTTTGAACATGTTACAAAGTGTAAAATAAAACCCTTAAAATTATAAAATTTATAAAAATCCTGATAATTTCTAACCTAACAGTACATTGAAAATATAAGAATTACAAATATCATCTACATAATTTATAATTTATAGAAAATACCATTAAAGTTTTAAAAATTACAAATAAACTTTTAAAATTAAAAATTTACAAAAAACACCCTGACAGTTTCAAATTCATTAGTAAATTAAAACATAGGAATTATAAATAGTCTATAAACAATTTACAATATGTAAAAAATGCCTATAAGTTTAAAAAATTGTAAAAAGCCACTAAAATTCTTAATTTACAAAAAAACAGCATGAGAATTTATAACCTCTAAACACTAAAATGAATATGTAAAATTACTAACAACTCCTAGAAAATTAATTTTTTTTAAAATATCATACACCTTTTTTAAGTATAGGTTTAGGAAAAAAATTTATGGTAAATATTATCCATAACTTTTTTAAAAATAACATAACTAATTAAAGATCTATTAAATTTGAAATTTACAAAAAAACACCGTTAAAGTTTAGTACATTTCAAATTACCCCTCCAAAATTTGAATTTTTTTAATGATTTTTGGTAATTCCTTGATTTCAATGTAATGTTTAATAGTTTTATGTATTTATAAATTATAAAATTTTAGGGTATTTTTTATAATTTTTAAAACTTTAGAGGGTGTTTGTTTTGTAGTTTTCTAATTTTTATTGTGTTTTCAGTGTAATGCACACATATCTGCACTGCTCATGTATAATTTACAAATTAGTTCTTAATTTGACATATTAAATTACTTTTTTTGTTTAAATTTATTCTTTGACTTTTAGACTATGTAATCACTATATCACCATTCTAGCGTAGAAATGACCTCACTCTAAATGGATTCAAACTAATGTTTGAGTTGAACTGAAGTATATATTATTGCTACAATGTATATATATATTTTTAAGAAAATGATATCAACACTTTTTAAATAGAAGAGAATATTATAATCTTTGATATTATAAAAACTAAATATAGTCAATTGAGTGATTAGAAAAAGAAAACTTATATCAGAAAAGTATGAATAATAAGATAAAGAGGAAAGGTAATAGCATGGACAACAATACTACAAGTAGCAAACTACAATGTAAGTTAACATATTTTGTGGAGCCCAGCTACTGGCTATAATCATCGAGGTTTCATATATATACTTTATAATTTATTAAAAAGGGTCATATAATATTATATAATAAAATTAATTTAATACTTAATATATATATCCGTATCCGATTTTAGTAGATATGGATATGAATTTTCCTTACTGAGATATATCCTTATTCGTATCCATATATGAGATGTGTAAGCGGATATGGATATGGTAAGTATTATATCTGAACCGTATCCAGACAAAATACACCCCTAATCTTAACCCTTTTGCATATTTTGTGTTGCCAAACTATGAAGATAATTCACATTATTCTATGTGAAGATTTTGCATTTGACACAGTAATAAGAAATTAACTCTTCTTAACTTCTTACTTTTTCTAGTTGCTGAACGACTTAGTCTTTAGTGGCTTTTTTTGGGTAGGTAGATTTTTTCAAAGCTTTCGATTGTGTAAAGTGGGATTTACTCCTCATCCTCCTCAAAGCCAGAGGCTTCAGTGACATATGGTGCACCTGGATTCTCAATATCCTATCCTCAGCTAAGTCTGCTGTCTTAGTTAATGGTTCACCTACCGCTTTCTTTCGATGTCATCGGGGTCTTAAACAGGGTGACCCCTTCTCCCCCCTCTTATTCTTGCTGATAGTAGATGTCATGAGCAAGATGATCTCTGCCAGTGCTCTCTCTGGAGATCTCTTTGACCTCAAACTGAAAGGGGAACTAAATAATATTAGAACCCTTCAGTTTGCAGACGACACCCTCATCTTTTGTAGAGCCACACGTAAAGACATTCATACTCTCAAAACCATCCTCCATATTTTTGGTCTTATCTCTGGCCTATCCATGAACCAGTCCAAAACTCATCTCCACTATCTCGGTAGAATTCCCAACAAGGGTATCTCTCTTGCTGACAGTCTAAACTGTTCTCTTGGTACCCTTCCATTCTCTTATCTCCGTCTTCCTCTCAAAAGGGGTTCTCTCTCCAAAAGAGAGTGACAACCTCTCCTCGACTCCTTTTCTAAAAAAATTTCTCTGTGGAAACACAAATCCCTGTCAATAGGTGGTAGACTCACACTTCTAAATTCTATTCTATCATCTGTTCCTCTATACTATATGTCTTTTTTTAAGCTCCCATCCTGGCTCATCAAGGCCATCGACAGAATTAGAAGAAAATTTCTTTGGGGTTGCTACCCCCAAACCTCCAAACCCAAAAGTCTTATCAACTGGGGCATTGTTTGTAAACCTAAGGTTAAGGGGGGTTTAGGGGTCATCAATTTGCACTCTTTCAATCAGGCCCTCCTCTCCAAATGGTTATGGAAAATCAGTGTCAACTCCTTCCTTAGCAAGGTCATCTGGTCCATATACCCCTCTAACTCCTCCAACCCATTAGTAAGCCCTCCTAAGGCTTCGGCTTCTAACTTGATCAAAGATCTTTTTGCTATTCACGACTCTTTCTTTAGCCAGGCTCAGTGGAATATAGGTGACGGCTCTTCTTGTGGATTCTGGCATGATAAATGGTTGGGTGTTAACACCCTTAGGAGCTTGTTCCCAAGAGTCTATCATCTTGCCTTCTCTCATACCAGCTCAGTTCTCTCCCAAGGTGCCTTCATTAATAATGCGTGGAAGTGGCACCTCATCATCAGGAGAGGTAACACCCCGGAAAGTAGAGAAGACATCAACCTTCTGTACTCCCTTCTTGATCAAGCTAAGGTTCCCGTTTCTCAAGCTCAGGATCAGGTGTGCTGGCCTCTTCATCCATCTAGAGAATTCATTGTGAACTCATGTTACAGATTCCTTGTATCAGGGGGTACCACATTCCATTTATTCAAACTCATTTGGAAATCTCCTATTCCTCATAAGGTCAAGATTTTTCTCTGGATTCTTTGTCATCAGAAGCTTCAAACGAAGGACGTGTTGACTAAAAAGGGTTAGATTGGCGACATTTCATGTCCATTATGCAATTCTGCTAATGAGACCCATGATCACCTTTTTACCAAATGTTCAGTTATTAAAGATATTTGGTCTTTGATCGCCCCCAACCACCATCCTGACGTATGGCCGCAAGATATGTCTGTGCTTCTTTCTGGGTCTCTTGATCATTCCATTGACTATCGTATCAGATGCATATGGAGAGTTTTACTACCTAGCTGCTGCTGGAGAATTTGGTTTAGCAGAAACAATAAGATTTTTAATGGTGTAGTTTCTTCTCCATTGATCATTGCATCTCATATTGCACATTTCATCTTGTTCTGGACAGGAGCAACATCGAGCAGAAGGGCAACAAAAATGCACAAAGTGGCGATCAGTCTCGGTCTGAAGGAATTAGCCAAAGTTGCCAAGGATGATGGAGTTGGTGCCAACTTCTAATAGGATCATCAGCCTCTTTGCTCCTTTTTTGGGCTTTGGTTCTAGCAGTAGTTGCTATGTTTTGTAATATCTTATCAAACTTTCCCTAGAAACTAGACTGTGTATGCTCTCGCTTTATGGGATGTTCGGAACCATTCTTGATCTGGTTTGGTGGGTGACGACAAGGTCCGCTTCCCACCGATCATATCATCTATTGGTTCTCATCATCCTCATCTTTTGGTTTGTCATGTATTTTTTTCCATCCCTTTTTTAATATATATATACATATAAACAGGGAACCTCTCCCTGTTTTTCTGGTTCTCAAACTTTCCCTAGAAACTAGACTGTGTATGCTCTCGCTTTATGGGATGTTCGGAACCATTCTTGATCTGGTTTGGTGGGTGACGACAAGGTCCGCTTCCCACCGATCATATCATCTATTGGTTCTCATCATCCTCATCTTTTGGTTTGTCATGTATTTTTTTCCATCCCTTTTTTAATATATATATACATATAAACAGGGAACCTCTCCCTGTTTTTCTGGTTCAAAAAAAAAAGCTCAGCCTAGTTTCGTGCCCAACAGGTCTTGTACGCATGCATAATAAAAGTAAAATTAATTATAGTCTAGTACCTTGTGATATAAGCGTGACCATAAAGTTTAGGGATCTATATGAATAACACTGAGGTTGCTAACTTACATCGTTCAAAATCTAACAGTTTCTTAACACTGTTTTGTTGGATTTAATCTAATAAATCTAATTGTGGGCACATATGATTAATCAATATGTATTGCTATCTTTTAGGATAACCCACTAAAGTGATCAATCAAGTTGGGTTAATGGATATTTAAATAAGTCATGGGGTTATATGTGCAGATACCAGGTTGTAATTGTGATTTATTGAGGGGCCAAATTACAAAAGTACAACATCTATAAATAAGGGGTTATGGTCCCTAATCTAGGGTTACATTATCTAATTCTCTTCACCCCCATATAGAGAGAGAAATTCGGCTATAGAGAAACCCTAAGGTTAGAAGATCCAAAACCCAAATCAAGTTTTCTTTAATGGATTCAGGTATAAGCTTCCGCTCTTTTGATTCTTGTTAATCTCTTCGAATTAATCATTGGCTTAATGTTTTAGATCTCAAGTTTTATGATTCAGATCTAACAAGTGGTATCAGAGCCTCCTTTGATTAATTCTTAGGGATTTAAGTTTTAAAATTGGGTTTTTTGATCTTAAATCTCTGGTTTTTTGGTTAAGATCTGTTCTCGGATGAACAACAACGTATTTTTTTGGGATTTTCTTCGATTTTTTGGGATTTTCTTTGATTTTTTAGGATCTGAATCAAGAAATTTTTTCCGATTCTGGATCTGATTTTGAAAATAAAATCGAGGAATTTTTGGATTTTTTGGGTTTGATCTTCGGTCTCATGCTCCTCGCCGGCGAACCTTTGCTGGCGGCCTCGCTCTCGACTCCGACGGTGACGGCGGCGTCAGGTAACCCTAGGGTTTCGACCTCTTGGGTGCCGGAGCAATGGCGGCGGCGGTTTTAGTTTGAAACTCTAAGGGTTCGTGCGATTAATCGTGGCAAAAATTAAGGAGGTGGTTACCTCAACCGAACTTAGCGTTCGTTATAAGGTGAACGTCGAGCTCAAATTTTAACGAACTTCGCGTTCGTTCTCATGTGAGCCTCGCGCTCAACTCAAGTGAGCCTCGCGCTCAAATTTTAACGAACTTCGCGTTCGTTCTCAGGTGAGCCTCGCGCTCAACTCAGGTGAGCCTCGCGCTCAATTTTAACGAACTTCGCGTTCGTTCTCAGGTGAGCCTCGCGCTCAATTTTAAAATGAACTTAGCGTTTGTTCTTAAGTTGAGCCTCACGCTCAAATCTCAGGTGAGCCTCGCGCTCAATTCAAGTTGAGCCTCGCACTCAGATCTCAGGTGAGCCTCGCGCTCAGCTCTAAGGTGAGCCTCGTGCTCAATTCAAGTCGAACCTCGCGTTCATCTTTCAAACGAACATCGCGTTCGTTCTGTGTTCATTTTTTAACGAACCTCGCGTTCGTACTTAAGTGAGTCTTGTACTCAATACAGTCGAACCTTGTGTTCGAAGTCAAGCGAACTTCGTGTTCACTATGGTTAAGCCTCGGCTTTTCATGGGTCCACTTTGGTATACTTAATTTATTCAATTAAGTTATGGGCCCTAATTAAGCTATGAGACCCTAATTATGTTTTTTGGAAATTCAGTTGATTTAAATTAAAACCTGTTAATTTAAATCTAATTTGTTTTTTTAATCAATTATTTAATTCAAATATTATGACACTAATGTATTAAGGTTGTCTCTCACTCCAATTGATTAATTGAAACAAGAAGTTGCCAAAGTAACCTCTCTTGTGTAGATTGTTCATGAGGAATGTGAGATGTTTGTGTGTATGCTTTCGTGTAAATATTTAATCGGCCCAAAGGAAGGTTAATATTTATTTAGACTGTATACACATCTGCGATGATAAGCGTGTGACAATTATAAGGTTTACATGTGAATAATGAATCGATCCAAAGATAGTTTCATTATTTGACATGAGTTATTGTCAATGTTTGATCATTGCAACAAGATATCACTTACAAGTTAATATTACTGTCCAAAGACTTGATATTAATGTTGTGCCAGATATCTTGGATGGGATTCGTCATTATTTGAATTTTATTGATTAATAATTATGGTTATTGATGTGAGCACTTTTGTTTTATTTCAGCTAATGCATCTGCTGTAACAATTTCTGCTAACATCAATTCAATTCCCATGCTAAATGGGACAAATTTCAAGGTTTGGAAAGAGAACATACTAATTGTTCTTGGCTGCATGGATCTTAACTATGCATTAAGAACTGAACAACCCCAACCTCTCAATGCGCATAGCACTCCTGATGCAAAGAAGGAGTATGAGAAGTGGGAGCGTTCAAATCGCATGAGTCTTATGATCATTAAGCGCGGCATTCCGGAAGCCTTCAGGGGCATAGAATCCGAAGGGATTTCTAAGGCCAAAGATTTCCTTGCCGAAATTGAGAAGCGTTTTGCGAAAAACGATAAGGTAGAAACAAGCACGCTCTTAGCTCGCTTTATTTCAATGAAGTATAAGGGCAAAGGAAATATCAGGGAGTACATTATGGAAATGTCTCATATTGCTTCAAAGCTTAAGGCACTTAAACTCGATCTTTGTGATGAGTTATTAGTGCATCTGGTTTTTTTGTCTCTTCCTGCACAATTCAATCAGTTTAAGGTCAGTTATAACTGCCAAAAGGAGAAATGGACTCTAAATGAGCTCATTTCATACTGTGTGCAAGAAGAAGACATGTTGAAGCAAGATAAGACAGAAAGTGCTCATTTGACCTATGCCTCTAAGGATAAGGGCAAGAAAAGAAAGAATGATAATGAAGCTGCTAAGGGTCCAGTTCAGAAGAAACAACATAAGGATAATCAGGGTTGTTTCTTCTGTAAGAAGCCTGGACATGTAAAGAAGGACTGTACAAAATATCACGCCTGGCGTGCTACTAAGGGTATGTTCCTTACTTTGGTCTGTTCTGAGGTTAATTTAGCTTCAGTACCTAGAAACACTTGGTGGTTAGACTCTGGTGCTACTACTCACATAAGTGTTTCTATGCAGGGTTGCCTGAGCTACCGAAAGCCAAGTGATGTTGAAAGACACATCTTTGTGGGCGACGGTCAATCGGTAGATGTAGAAGCAATTGGGCATTTTAGGTTGCTATTAGGAACTGGTTCTTATTAGGACTTAAAAGATACTTTTGTAGTACCGTCTTTTAGACGGAATTTGGTTTCTGTTTCTGTATTGGACAAATCAGGTTATTCTTGTTCATTTGGAAACAGTCAATTCCGTTTATCTTTTAATTCAAATGTTGTGGGAACCGGTTACTTGAGTATTTATGACAACCTATATTTGCTTGATACAATTGCTTCTTCTAATGAATCCTTGCATGTGGAATCACGTGGTACTAAGCGTAAATTAAATAAGGAAAATTCGGCGACATTATGGCATAAGCGCTTAGGTCATATCTCAAAAGGTAGAATTGAGCGTCTTGTGTCTGATGGCATTTTGGATTCCCTTGATTTTTCGGACTTCAACGTATGTGTTGAATGTATCAAGGGAAAACAGACTAAAGTTAAGAGATTAGGTGCCAACAGATCTTCGGATGTCTTAGAATTGATACATACTGATATTTGTGGGTCATTCCCTTCGGCATCCTGGAGTGGTCAACAATATTTTATATCATTCATAGATGATTACTCACGTTATGGGTACCTATATCTCATTCATAAAAAATCTGAGTCTCTGGACATGTTCAAAGCCACGTTATGGGTACCTATATCTCATTCATAAAAAATCTGAGTCTCTGGACATGTTCAAAGCCTATAAAGCTGAAGTTGAGAATCAACTCAACAGAATAATTAAAACCGTTAGATCTGATCGTGATGGTGAGTACTATGGTAGATATGATGGTTCAGGTGAACAACGTCCAGGACCATTTGCTAGATACCTAGAGGAATGCGGTATCGTCCCACAGTACACTATGCCAGGTTCACCTAGCATGAATAGTATAGCTGAAAGACGAAACAAGACTCTTAAGGATATGGTAAGAAGTATGATTGCTCATTCTTCTTTACCAGAGTCACTCTGGGGAGAAGCACTTAAGACAGCAGCTTACATTCTGAACAGAGTACCAAGTAAAGCAGTTGCTAAAATACCTTATAAGGTTTGGACTGGTCGAAAGCCCAGTTTAAAGCACTTACATATTTGGGGATGTCCAGATGAGACAAGGCCTTATAGGCCAAATGAAAAGAAATTGGACTCCAAAACAGTTAGCAGCTACTTTATTGGGTACTCTGAACGCTCTAGGGGCTATAAGTTTTATGATCCCATACTAAGGAATATTTTTAAGATGAGAAATAAGGTTAGAGACATTGCTTTTGAAGAGGAATTGGCTTCAGACCCAATCCATTCAGTTACTTTTGAC